TGCAGCGTCGGCATCTGCAGGGCGGTGAGGCTGAACTTCAGGACCAGGGGCAACGTCAGGAGGTCGCCCACGGATCAACTGCAGGAAATTCGCGACCAGCGGTGGCTCGTTGCCCATGCAGATGCCCAGCGGAGTGATCACCCGCAAAGCGGCAGGAAACGCAGCAGCGTGTGGAAGAAGTACGTGTAGTTGAAGTGTCTGGCGCTTGTCAACTCGCGCTGGGCCGCGACCGCCTTGCAGCGCTTGGCAAGCACGGCGTTGCAGAGCGTCAGCACTCCTGCGGTGCGGCATGACGAACAGCGTCAGCCGCAGAGGCAGCAGACGCCATCCCGCGGACATATAGCGCCGAGAGCCTCAAACGGTGGCGGCGCGGCGCTGGGCCAGAGGGCCTTGGGCGAAACAGCTGCGGTGACCATTTCGGCCAAATCCGAGACCCCCGAGGAGGGGACGGAGTCGAGCCAAAATGGCTACGGAAGGAGGAGGAGGAAGAAGAGGAGGAGGGGGAGAGGGGAGGAGGAGGAGGAGGAGGAGGAGGAGGAGGAGGAGAAGGAGGAGGAGGAGAAGGAGGAGGAGGAGGAGGAGGACGGGTCGCCTAAGCCCTTCGGAGAAACCCTCCACGACCCTGCTCCTCTGCCTCCTCGCCCCCGCGGCGCGCGGACCGCGCTCTCCGGCCTCTGCCGCGGCCCGGCGCGGCTGCTGCGCCCACGGCTCTCCGCCGCCCGTGGGGCGCATGCGGGTGCTCGGTGGCCTCTCGCGCGCGGTCAGGCCGGGCCGCCGCGGGGGGGGGGCTGCGGCCAGCCGCCGCGGCGAGGAGCCCTGGCCGGCGAGGAGGCCGGCAGATCGACGACCGAGGGTCGTGGGATGAACAGGACCTATGGTTGGCGGCGCGCGCAGGGGGGGTAGAGGGAGGGGGGATGCTTCTTAGGAGGAGGCTGCCTCTCGGAAAGCGGCCCCCCTTCTACGGACAAGGCCCGCGCCTTCTGAGAAGCAAGGGTGCTTCGATCGGGGGTGCGCAAACATAAATTAGCCATCCATGGATGCGGCGCGCGGTCGCCAAATCCATGGATCGGGGGAGGTGCCCTCCCCAAAATGCGGCCAGTGCCGCCTCGTTCGGCGGCGGAGATCCGCGATTTCTCATGGAAACGGGACCCGTCGCTAATATACGCCCCCTTGCTCCTTGTTTGCTACAACCCTCCGCGCGTGGCTGAAGAGGATCGTCGACGCTGGGCTGGGGATCGAGGGCTCGAGGGCTCGAGGGCCCAGGACCTGGGCCCCAGATCCCCAGCGAGGTCGAGGACCGAGCGGGTCGTTCTGCACCTCCCCGGCCTCTGGATCCGCCGTGCTCCTTGGGCGATTTCGCAAGTGGGGCGGGAATTTTCGCCATTTCTTTCGACCTCCTTTGGTGCCGATTTCCTCTCTGCTTTGCCGTCGCTGTTTCCGCCCTGTCGGTACGGAAAGACTCGCCCGACTTTTCCGGGGCGGCCATTCCCGTCCAACCTTTTGGCATTGTTTGGGGTGCATTTCCTTTTTCCCCCCCGAAGAGAAGCAACGATCACCAACTATGCCCAGCTGAGCAGACGCCACTCGCAGCAGTGCCAACCCATGCAAGCAGAATGCGGCCGCCTGTAATGAAGCACGGGGTTGGCCTGTTTCTTATATTTCACAGTGCGAGAATGCATAAGGACAGCGAGAACGCGTGGACAGCAGCAGCAGAAGCAGAAAGAGGGGGGCAGGCGGCAGATCAACCGAAGTACGGCGGATCCAGAGTCAGGGTCTGCCTTCCTGAAGCCGCTGGAGGCCACCAGCGTCCTCCAGCCAGGCGGGCAAGGGTGCGGAGGCCGGGGGGGGGGGCGCCCCTGTCCGCCGGTGTTGCAGTGCTTCGTGGCGTCGGCCTCCAGACTCTGGCTTCTTCCCCCGGGTCCGCGCTTTCGCCCCGAGCTGTTCTCTTCCACGGTCCGGGAGACGGCCTCCGGGGGCCAGAAGCCAGGAGAACACTAGCCGTCGCTTTTTCCGCTTGCCTTGCCCAAGTCTGGGGGGAGGTCAATGGGGAGCGACCCTTCGGCGCCTTCCGCGCGGCGGGCGCCGCGGCGGCGCCGCTCCAGGGCGGGGGAGGGCTCGGGGACTGGAGGGGGGACCCGAAAAACCTCCAGCGGCTCGGGGATCGAGGATCGACTATCGAGGACAGATGAGGATGGAGGATCGACGGTCGAGGATCGGCGAGGATCGAGGATCGCGGACAATCGAAGAAGATCGAGGACCGAAGACCGAGGACCGAGGAGGCTCGAGGATCGGGGGAATGTTCGTCTCCCGCGGCGGGGGCCGCGGCCGAACGTGGTGCGGAGGTAGCCGCCCGCATCGGGCCGTGGCAATCGATGGGCCGAAGGCCTGAATGGGAAACCTGGAATCCATAGCCGGACAACTGCCCAGAACACGTAGGCCACTCTGAAAAAGCGCACCCGTCGCACACTCCCAAAAAGGGGGGGTCCCTTAGCTACACCCCCCCTTAGACCTCCCCTACCCGATCCACCCCCCTCCTCCCCCCCATTTTGGTTTCCACCCCTCGGAAGCTACCCCCTCCCCCCCTTGGACCTGCTGGAAGCCCCCCATCTTCCCCTTGTTCTGTCCGCCCTTCGGAAGCTACCCCCCCCCTCCCCCCTTTCGCGCTCTGGAAGCTACCCCCCCTCCCTACCTTTCTCAAAGGGAGGGGGGGTGCTTAGCCCCCCCTTTAAACCCCCTTCTTGGCTAAAGGGGGGGGGCTTGGAAGCCCACCCCCCTGTGGCTAAAGCAACGAGCGCCGAAGACCAAAACGGCGCCGAAAACCAGCAGGGCGCCGAAAAGCAAAAGGGCCACCGAAAACCGAAAAGGCGCCGAAGACCAGAGGCGCGCCGAAAACCAAAGGAACGCCGAAAACCGCAGGTGCGTCGAAAACCAAACGGGCGCCAAAAACCAACAGAGCGACAAAAACCAAAGGAGCGCCAAAAAACCAAAGGGACGCCGATATCCAAAAAGGGCGCCGAAAACCAAAGGGACGCCGAAAACCAGAGGGGCACAGAAAACCGAAGGGGGGGCGAAAACCAAAGAAGCACCGACAACCAAAAGAGGGCCGAAAAGCAAAGGGGCGCCGAAATCCGAAAAGCACCGGAAACCAAAAGAAGGCCTAAAACCAAAAACAGCTCCGAAAACCAAAGATGCGCCGAAAACCAAAAACAGCTCCGAAAACCAAAGATGCGCCGAAAACCAAAAAGGCACCGAAAAACTAACGGAACCGATGACCAAAAGGGGCGCCGAAAACCAAAGGGGCGCCGAAAACAACAGAAGCTCCGAAGACAGACAGGGCGCCGAAAACAAAAAGGGCACCGAAAACCAACACAGCGCCGAAAACCGCAGGGGCGCCTAAAACCAAAGGGGCGCCGAAAACCAAAGAGGCGCCGAAAACCAAATGGGCGCCGAAAACCAACAGGCAGCAAAAACAAAAACGGAGCCGAAAAAACACAGGGGCGCCGATAACTTAAAGAGCGTCGAAAACCAAAGGGCGCCAAAAACCAAAGGCGCGCCGAAAGCGGAAGGGCCACCGAAAACCAAAGGGGAGCCGACAACCAAAGAGCACCGAAAACCAAAAGGGCGCCGAAAACTACAGGGTAGCCGAAAACCAAAATTGCGCCGAAAACCAAGAGGGCGCCGAAAACCAAAGGGGCACCAGAACCCAAGAGGGCGTCAAAAACCAACGATGCGCCGAAAACCAAAGGATGCACGGAAAACCGAACAGGGCGCCGAAAACCAAAGGAGCGCCGAAAACCACAGTGGCGCCGAAAACCCGAGGAGCGCTGAAAACCTGAGGGGCGCCGAAAACCAAGAGGGCGCCAAAGACCAAAGGGGCGCCGAAAACCAAAGAGGCGCCGAAAACCAAAGAGGCGCCGAAAACCACAAGCACACCGAAAACCAACGGGGCGCCGAAAACCGAAGAAAAGTAGCTGCTTCGAAGCCCCCCCTTCAGCCAGGGCCCTCCAGCTGGAAAAGCCAACAGAAGGAGGCGAGGGGGGAGTAGCTTCGGAAGCCCCCGCCCCTTGAAAAGGGGAGTCCGGGCTTACCCCCGGCCCAAAAAAAGAGGCGAAGGGGGGGGAGCTTCCAAGCCCCCCATCCCCTTTTAGCCAGGGACCCCCGAGCTACAAAATCCAAACAAAAGAAGGAGTGGGGGTAGCTTCGGAAGCGCCCCCCCCTTGAAAGGAGAGCCCGGGCTGACCCCGGGCCCCGAAAAAGGGGCAGGGGGGGTAGTTTCCAAGCCCCCCCCCCTTTAGCTGAGGCTCCTCCAGCTAAAAAATGCCCACAAAAGAGGGGGAGGGGGGGGGAGCTTGAAGCTGGGGCCCCCCTGTTAGTAAGGAGTGTGCGACGAGCGCACTCTTTTCCAGAAACCTTGGACCCAACAGTGTTGGCATCTCTTGAGGGCATGTTATGGGGACGCATGTTATACTACCGCCAGCTGCGTGCCTTCGTTTTCCGCCTGCGTCCGCCAACCTGTCGCCGCCTTCCGCCCCAGAAGAGCTACCAGCTCCGTCGATCCTCGAAGACGAGGCTGGAACGCGCCATGTGTGAGCTCCAACGTGTTCCTGCCGCTTGTCGGTCGTGCTTCGTGCCCCATCACGGTTGCCCCCTCCTTGAGTTCCCCGCGTGGCGTGGCACCCCATGGGAGAGACCCACGCACCTCGCCGGAGCTGCCGCGTGACGGCGCGACGGCGCGTTCCGACTCGCCCGCGCGCGCTCACTCCAGCGCTGGAGACGGTGACCTCCACCTTCACGTTGGCAAGCCAAATCTCGTCGGGAAGTAATAGTGCAGGCTGTTACGTCCCGCCTGTCCCGCAGTAGCGTACGATTTGCAACTCCAAGTTCGCCTGTCACCACACCACTTACCATCTACCACCTGCTGCTGCGGCCCGCCTCGCTCGTACTCGCTCGCTCTGGCACTGCAGAGGCCAACGTCCAACGTCACGATCTCCTTCCAAATCTCATTGAACAACAACGCCGCGAGTTTGTACTAGCCGAGGTGTTCGCACACGCGGATTCGTATGTTGCAGCTGATGACTTCCAAGTCTCAGTTCGCATGCTGACAAGACGTCAAGCATGGGCAACGCGTGCTGCAGCTGCCCACCTCTCTCGCATGCGTTGATTCCAGGAGTGTAGCTGGAAAAATCCAGCTCCACCTCCACTCTCTGCATTTCGCCCAGCAGCGAAATTACGTGCTGCCACTGCCCAGCACTCTGGCAGGCGGCCATTAGTGTATGGTAGCCAAGGACGGAGGGCTCCAGAACGGCCTCCTCCATCTCGCTCAGCAACGACAGTGCCTGCAACCATTCCCCACACTTCGCGCATGCCATCATTCCTGCGGCGTAGCTCACCGTGTCGTGTTCGAGCATCGCCTCGGATAGTGCTCGTAGTAACGCCAGCGCTGGCTGCCACCGCTCGGCCTTCCCGCAGGCGACGACTGCAGAGTTGTAGCACATGACGTCAGGATCTAGCTTCGCATCCCGCAGCTCGCTCAACAGAGACAACGCCTTCTGCCAGCGCCGTCCTTCTCCGCAAGCCGTGATTCCAAAGTAGTAGCTGATTACGGCGAACGCGTGGTTTGCCATGCACGCACGCAGGCTAAAACCCTTATCTCGTGCAGGTCGCATTGGGCTATGTGCAACAAACGATTGGTTGCTGAATTTGTATCATCAACTCGGCCTGGCTGCGATCTAAGATAAAGTGCACTGTAAACCCCAGATGGTGAGGCATGCTGGATGGCAAACGACGGGCACGCCAGTCCTGCGCAAATACCGAACGCGATGCGAAAGAGCTGCGCATGATTCGACCAGAAACTGTTCTGAGCAAGCTCGTGGATAGAGGCCTGATGAGCCAACCACCAATGGAGAACGAATCGTAACATATAATTTCTGGATATGCCAAAGACGCTACATGTGCGTTATATGAACCTCACGGTGCAGCTGGGCTCTTCTGCCCTACGACATCACGCGAGCCAGGGTCAAGCTTTCCAGCAGCTGCAGCTTCATCGAAGGTCGACCTACTGTTGAAAGAAAAAGGTTTGCACCATTTCGGATTGAGCTGCAAATCGGATGGCACTGCTGCTACCCCGCGCCCCCGACTTTAACATTGATAGTTGTGACATATCCCTGAACCCTTCGAACAAAATATATCCCATTTCAGCGTGCGCGTCCGGTCTCAGTGTTAAGGTCGGGGGCGGGGGGGTCGTATCATCAGTTATCGTGCCGCCCAGGTGGTGCAAACTTGTTTCTTTCAACCGTAATATCTGGTGCTCGAGCCCACCATGGTGTCATAATATGTTGCGGCCGTCGGCGCAACCTATGGCACAATCTAACAGCGACTCAAGGGTGGACGTGCCGCGGGTCTAACTCCAACTCCTGATTCATAATTCGGTGGGGCGGTACCATCTGCAGTTCCGCGCCGTACCGTATCGTGCTGTGTCATGTCGCGCCCTGCCCTTGAACAACAAGTATAAGGTCTCTTACACGTCGGTTTGGCCCCGTGCCCTGGGAACGCTCAAAAACCGCTGGGGATCGAGGATCGAACTTGCACCCCACCACCATGCCTGGCCTGGGCCACGTGGAGAGCCCTCCTAGCCGAGGCCAGGAGGGCCTACGCACTATCCTCAAGCCTCAGGGTGGGCTTGTCCAGGCACGGTGATAATGCATAAGTGCCTCCTGGCGGAATTGAGGATCGAAGGTGCTAGATCTAGTTGTTGGGCCCTCTTTGGCCCCTGTTTGGGCCGCCGAAGCCTCCAGAGGCAGCCTCTGGAGACCTCTTGAAGCACGCAACGCCACCAGTATTGCACAGGAGATGACCTCGGGCTCCAGCCCCACCTCGAGTAGCTCCCTGAGCAGCGACAGTGCCTCCTGCCACTGCCCAACCTTCCCGCACGCTTGGATTGCGGACCTGAAGCTGACGGCGTCAGGCTCCACGCTCGCCTCCAACATCTCCCTGAAGGATGACAGCGCTAGCTGCCACTGTCCGCCCTTTCCACACGCTCTGACTCCACCTGTGTAACACACAACATCCGGCTCAAGCTTCATCTCCCGCATCTCGCTCAGCAGCGATCGTGCATGCTGCCACCGCCCCACTTTCTCACAAGCGCTGATTCCCGAGCCGTACATGCTGACGCTATACTCCAGCTTCACATCCCACATGTCCCTTAGCAGCGAGACCGCCCGCTGGAACTGTGAGGCTGTCTCGCACGCGGTGATGCAAACGTTATAGCTGATGCCATCCGGCTCCAAATTCGCATCGCGGACCCCAGTGAACAAAGATAGTGCTTCCTGCCACTTCCAGCCTTTACCGCAGGCACTGATTACAGTGTTGTAGCTCATTGTGTTAAGTTCCAAGCTATCTTCGACCAGCTCCGTGAACAACCACAACGCCTCAGACCACTGCCCCTCTTTCTCGCACGCGCTGATTCCAGCGTTATAGCTCACGATGATCGGCTCGATCTTCGCCTCCTGCATCTCACGGAGCAACGACAGCGCCTGCACCCAGAGGCCACTTTTCGCGCACGCGCTGATTCCGGCGCCGTAGCTGACGACGTCTGGTTCCAGCCTCACGGCCCGCAGTTCCCTGAGTAGCGACAGCGCCTGCTGCCACGGCACGCCTTTGCACGCGCTGATCCCCGAGTTGTAGATGACCCGCGCTGGCCCGTGGACCTCTCTCTCTCTCTCTCTCTCTATCTGCGATCCGCACTGCTGAGGGCAAAGCGGTGCATCAACAAAGAGAGAAGGAGAAGCAGGAGAAGCACGAGGAGGAGGAGCCACACAGGAGAAGGAGACGAGAGCAAGGGTCGGTAGCAGAATCTCCCATTGGTCCCCAACCGTGGGGTCCCTCATAGGGTGCGTGCGGATCTGGGGGTGCTCGTAGGGGCGACGTCCGTCGTGAACCACGGACAGCGCTTAACGGATTGGCGATTTCAGCGATCGGCCCAAAAAAATCCATCCTTGTTAAACTCGGGACGCTGTAGCTCGGCAAGGCTGCGCAGCAGCTTGCGAGCCCACACAGGCCCGAAGCCAACCCCGATCCTCCTGCTGCCCCTCCTCCTCCCCTGCCGAATCCTCTCAAAACCACTCCTCCCCCAGCCTCCGCACCCCCAAATCCTCGTCTTCCAATGGATGCTACAACTCCCTCCGCCCTCCTCCCTCCTCCCTCCTCGCTCCTCCCTCCTCCCTCCCCTCCTCCCTCCTCCCTCCTCCTCCTCCTCCTCCTCCTCCTCCTCCTCCCTCCTCCTCCTCCCTCCTCCTCCCTCCCCTCCTCCTCCTCCTCCTCTCCCTCCTCCCTCCTCCCTCCCCCCTCCTCCCCCCTCCCCCCTCCTCCTCCTCCTCCTCCTCCTCCTCCTCCTCCTCCTCCTCCTCCTCCCTCCCTCCTCCTCCTCCTCCTCCTCCTCCTCCTCCTCCTTTTCTTCTTTTTATTAGTACTCGTCGTATTCGTTTAATTGTTCCTATTCTTGATATTATTAATCATATGAGGTTTCTTAATCAGAGTATTATTATTAGTATGTCTCTTATGCTTCATAGTAGTAGTATCCGTCTTGTGTTTCGTCGTAGTCCTCCTCCTCCTCCTGCTCCTCCTCCTCCTCCTCATCCTCCTCCTCCTCCTCCTCCTCCTCCTCCTCCTCCTCCTCCTCACTCCTCCTCGCTCCTCCTCGTCTCCTCCTCTCCTCCTCCTTCCTTCCTCCTCCTCCTCCTCCTCCTCCTCCTCCTCCTCCTCCTCCTCCTCCTCCTCCTCCTCCTCCTCCTCCTCCTCCACCTCCTCCTCCTCCTCCTCCTCCTCCTCCTCCTACTCTCCTCCTCCTCCTCCTCCTCCTTCCTCCTCTCCTCCTCCTCCTCCTCCTCCTCCTCCTCTCCTCCTCCTCCTCCTCCGCCTCCTCCTCCTCCTCCCTCCTCCTCCTCCTCCTCCTCTCCTCCTCTCCTCCTCCTCCTCTCCTCCTCCTCCTCCTCCTCCTCTCCTCCTCCTCCTCCTCCTCCCTCCTCCTCCTCCTCTCTCCTCCTCCTCCTCCCTCCTCCTCCTCCTCCTCCTCCTCCTCCTCCTCCTCCTCCTCCTCCTCCTCTCCTCCTCCTCCTCCTCCTCCTCCTCCTCCTCCTCCTCCTCCTCCTCCTCCTCCTCCCTCCCTCCTCCCTCCTCCCTCCTCCCTCCTCCTCCTCCCCTCCCCCTCCCCTCCTCCCCCTCCCCCTCCCCTCACCCTTCCCCTTCCCCTCCCCTCTCCCTCCTCCTCCTCCTCCTCCTCCTTTCTCCTCCTCCTCCTCCTCCCCCTCCTCCTCCTCCGCACCCTCCTCCGCACCCTCCTTCGCCTTTCCCTCCGCCTCCTTTCCCCTCCCGCTCCTCCTCCGCACCCTCCATCGTTTCCTCCTCCGCCTGAGAGGGAGGAGGCTGAGACGATGTCTGGCTCCAGCCTCACCTCGCGCAGCTCCCCGAGCAGGCACAGCGCCCTTTCCCACTGGCCGCACTTCTCGCACGCGCTGATCCCCGCGCTGTAGCTGACGGTGCTCGGCTGCAGCCGCACCTTTAGGGGGGGCGACCACCGATCGAGGATCGATCGAGCGCGCTCCAAGACGAGGTCTGCGGCCGACTTTGAATGAGGGGGCGGGAGGGGGAGGAGGAGAGGAGGAGGAGGAGGTGGAGGAGGAGGAGGAGGAGGAGGAGGAGCGCACGTAACTGAGATTGGGGAGGAGGAGGAGGAGGAGGAGGAGGAGGAGGAGGAGGAGGAGGAGAAGGAGCAGCAGCAGCAGGAGCAGCAGGAGGAAGGACGACTACGACGACGACGACGACGACGACGACGACGACGACGACGACGACGACGACGACGACGACGACGACGACAACGAGGTTCTTGGAGGTCCTGGGGAGCGAGAAGGTTCCAATTGGTTTCAGGGGTAAGGTGTTCCAAGGGGGGCCCAGGAGGCCCAGGGGGCGCGACAGACCCAAGACATACACCTGAGACCCCCAAAGGAATCCAGCCCCAAACCAGGCCCCCGACCCCGAGACCCCCCCCGCCCCCAAAGGCCAAGACCAACACCCTGAGACAAGGACACCGGCCAGCGCGACGGGAGGGCGCCAAGAGGTACCCCCCAGAGGGAGGGACTTGAGCCAAGATGTCGGAGCGAAGCGGAGCGGCGCCGGTGCTGGATGTGCCCGTGCTCTCTGCGGCAGGGTGCACGAGGCCGTGGCCTCATATCGTGTTCCACGAGATGTGGGAGGAAATAACCTCAGGACGCCATTAAGGAACCCCCCGGGATTGTCATTAGCACCGCACCATAATTAAATATTGTTGGGGAGTTCTTCGCCGAATGATATAATTAGCACCGCGCAAATGGAAGGAAGGAACAAATAATTCCCGCGCCCCGGCGCGGGTGGTATCCCAAGTGGAATTGGAATCAGACTAAGAATAATAATAATCATAATAATAATAATAATAATAATAATAATAATAATAATAATGATAATACGACAAAGAATGCGAATAATATTACGAATGCGAATACGAATACACATAAGAAGAACAGGAGGAATAATCATACGGATGATAATAAGACTAAGACTAAGAACAATACTAATAATACAAATAACAATCAGAATAATAATCAGAAAAAGAAGAAGGTACAGAAAAATGATGGGAACAAGAATACGAATAAGAGAATAATGCGAACGATAATACGAAAACGAATGAAACAATAATCACAATATGAACGAGAATGAGAATAAGGATACGAGTAGTAATAATAATAAGAATAATTAGAACATGGAAACGAATTAAAAAAGTGTACACCATTGTTCCTCATTTACCTCATCGTCTTGTCCTACACGATTCCTGTTACCACCCCTATTGAGATATTGGTGGTTCCCGACCGTCGTGTGGGGTAGTGCATCCGAGGATAACGCCCCCGCTCCGCACCGAGCGTTATCTTAGCACCGCGCGCGTACAGAAAATAATAATCGCCTCCCACAGGAATTGTCAGAAGGAATGCAAAGTCGAGTACCAAAAGAAAGAACAACTGAGAAGGGCGATAACGAATCCTGAGGAGTCTCACTGAAGAGTTTCACGGAGGGTCTCACGAACGACACACACACACAGAATGTCTCCGGCGAGGCGCTTGCTTCAGAACCACACGGAGACCAGATTTGCGAGAATGTCTCAGGCGGTTTGCTTGTTTCGGCGGGCAGACTCGTCTGCGTTCATAGCAGGTTGCGAGGTGCCAGGGTAACGCTTCCAGGGTGCCAGATGCGTTGATACTTTCGCCGGAGAGGGGGGGGGGTCTCAATTGCTTACTCGGGTTAATTCCGTGGCCAGTCGGGGAAACAGCGCACGAGCTGATGCAAGCGGACACGGACACGCCTGGGGTTGGAAAGCGGGAGCGGGGGTCGGAGAGGCGGGGCCCGGAGCCGGAGGGGTGGATCTGGAGCCAGGGCCGGAATCGACGAAACGGGCACGGGTGCCCGAGGCCGCAGCAGGGACATCGCCGTTTGGGCCCAGTAGCGGGTCTCCGCATCACGCTAACGGTCGCAACCACTGGGCGCCCGTAGCCGTCAAGCAGGCGCCGTGCTTCTGACTGCAAGCGCTGTTGTTGCGTTCCGCCGCCGGCTTCCGGCAAGCTGTCCTGCGCGGCGACGGAGAGGGAGACAGGGAGACGGGGACCTCGCCTTTTTCCCCCTTGTTTTGCCCGCCCCCGCGCTTGTCCGAAGGGCGGGCCGACAGCCACGAGGGGGGCGGGGCGGCCCCTCGGCCGCCCGACCCAGCGGGGAGGGCCGCCACCCCCACTGCAGCACCGTGGCCTCCACGCGCAGGCGCCCAGCCGCGCGCCCACCCGGAGGGGCCCTCTCGGCCGCCCTCCCCTCCGCGCCGTGGGCCCCACGGCTCATCCCCTGGCGTCTTGGCGGCGCCCACGAGGGCGTGGCGCGAGGGCGGCTCACTGCGAAGGCGGGAGGCGGGGCAGGTGCCTTTTCCAAGGGGGCCACGAAAGTCCCGCCGCCTCATTGGGAGCCCGCCCCCCTCGCGCCGCCCCCTTGTGGGCGCCGCCAGGCTTCAGCATACCCTCGTCGCGGAGAAGTCCCTTCAAGGCGCCGGTCGCGTCCAACCTTCGAGACGGGGCGACGCCGTCGCACTCGCCGCTCGTCTGGACGTCGGCCTTCACCGAGGGCGGCCGCTGCCGCGAGGCCCTCCACAGGGAGACGAGCGCCGAGTCGGCGCCACTCTTCTCTGCGCGGCCGCCGCGGCCGCGGCCACGAGCCTCCGCGCAGGCGGCGAGGAGCGCGCCGACCTCGTGCAGATCCCTGGCGGCCCTGACGTTGCCCCTGGGCTTCAGGTCATGACTCGCCGCTCGGGCGGCCGTGCAGGGGAGGCGCAGCCGCTGGAAGGCACACCCCGAGGCTGGCAAGCCGTGAGGAACCAACGAAAGCGGCCGAAAGCCTCAAATCTCGAAAGCACGCCAGCGCTGGGCTCTCTGGACCCGAGGCTCGCGGCCAGCTGGCCTTTGATCGAGGCCGTCGGGTGCCGCAATCCAGGGCTCGTGACCGCGGCCGCGGGGAAAGAGCGGCGCCGACCGCGCCAGCGGCAAGGAGCGCGCCGAGCTCGTGCAGATGCCCTGGCGGCCGCGCCAACGCCGCCGCCCCTCCAGGCCCGACGCCAGGCCGCCGGACGGCCCTTGATCGAGGCCGGGTGCCGCGAGGCGCGGGCCTCACGAGCAGCACCCCGCGGCGGCGCTCCACGAGCGCCGGCAGGCCGCGGGGCTGCTGCTCGCCTGGCTCCCAGCCAGCCGCACGCGGCGCCACGGCGCGGATCTCGAGGTTTCCGGCGTTCTCGTTTGTTCTGTTCGCTGGTTCTCGGCGGTTTCCAAGCCTTGGGATGCGCCCCAGCGGCTGCGCCTCGCCGGGAGGCGTCCGGGGGTGCTTGGATCGTCCCGAACGGCCGCCGGAGATGGGAGCTATGACCCGAAAACTAGACGACGAGGACCTCCCCTCCAACTCCCCAAGCCCCCCCTTCGCCCAGGCCCCCAACGCGTGGGAAAAATCCAAACGGCCCCTCGCTGGCCCTGGGGAAAGGGTCGGGACTTTTGGGGGGCCCGCATTGAAAAATCAAGATGTCTGGTGTCTGGACCCATGGAGTGGTCTTGAGCCAAAAGGGCTACGGAGGGTAGTGACCCCCACTTCCTCGGAGCGTGTCCGAGGCGGCAGTGGGAGAAAGAAGGACGAGGAGAGGATAATGAAGATGACGACGACGACGACGACGACGACGACGACGACGACGACGACGACAACGACGACCATCACGACGACGACGACGACGACGACGACGACGACGACGACGACAAGGGCGAGAAGGCGGACAGAAGAGGACAAATAGGAGGAGCCCAGCTGATGTCCCACCTTCGACAGCTCCCTGAGCAACGACAGCGCCTGGAGCCACTGTTCGCCTTTCTCGCACGCGCTAACAACAGCGCTGTAGCTGATCACATCAGGCTTCAGCGCCAAATTCGGCAACTGGCTGAGCAACGATAACGCCTGCTGCCACTGCCCACATTTCTCGCACGCGCTGATCCCAGCGTTATAGCTGAATGAGTACGGCAAAGTGTCCGACGAACGTAAGTACGAAAGTACACCCACTGCTTCGAGGAGCGAACGTATAGAAATGAGTATGATGAAAACCCAGTCTACTTCAACAGCCATGCATGATGTTCTGCTCCACAGGCTGGGGCGTCTCTCGACGCTCTCAGGGCAGCGCGCAGGAAGCGGGCCGGCGTATGGGAGGCGGCATCACACCGGGACCAAATCCAATCACCGAGAAACCTAAGAAAACGTCTGAATGTGCTGTGGACTCCTCCTCCTCATCATCATACTCCTCCTCCTTCTCGTGCTATACAACCTCCTCCTCGTCCTCCTCGACCTTTTAGTCCTCCTCCTCCCCATTATCATCATCATCATCATCATCATCATCATCATCATCATCATCATCATCATCATCATCATCATCATCATCATCATCATCATCACCATGGTCATTATCCTCATCATCATCATCATCATCAGCAGCAGCATCATCATCATCATCATCATCATCATCATCATCAGCAGCAGCAGCAGCAGCATCATCATCATCATCATCATCATCATCATCATCATCATCAGCATCATCCTCATCCTTATCGTCCTTCGCCTCCTCCTCTCCCTCCTCCCTCCTGCTTCATCTCCCAACTATCCTCCAGACACGGCGGGCCGAACGCATGAATATCTGCTTACGGGCCGGCGCTGCTTCTTGAGTGCCCTTCCCACCATGGCCTGGATCGCTCTCGGTGTCTCTCGGGGCCTTGGCGAGCATTCTGGCGACGTGGGGTAGGCAAGGAGGGGAACGCAGATCGGGAGATGTAGGCTCGATGACGCTGGCGTCCACCTTCACGCCTCGCATCTCGCCGAGCAGATACAGCGCCTGCTGCCACTGCCCACCTTTCTCGCACGCGCTGATTGCGGCGCTGTAGCTGACGATGCCTTGATTCAACGTCACCTCACGCATCTCCCTGAGCAGCGACAGCGCTGGCTCCCACTGCGCACCCTTCCCGCACGCGCTGACTCCGGCGCAGTAGCTGACTGCATTGGGCTTCAACTTCACCGCCCACGCCTCTCTGAGCAACGACAGTGCCTGCTGCCATTGTCCACATTTTTCACACGCGCTGATTCCGGCGCTGTAGCTAACAGCGTAGTCATGTATTGCAATACGGATACATAAAACCTCCCCTTGTCGTCCCGATCGTAACGCCTCCTCGACCATCTCCTCCTCCTACCACCACCACCACCTCCACCACCACCACCATCGTCAGCAGCAGCATCATGCTCACAATCAGAATGAGCCCATGTACCGTCATCAACATCATCACTACGGATCATCACCATCATCATCATCATCATCATCATCAGCATCATCATCTGCATCATCCTCATCATCCTCATAATCAGCACCATCATCAGCAGCATCATCATCATAATCAACATCACCATAATCATCATCATCACAAGTGTCGTAATCGTCGTCATCAGTATCATCATCATCATCACCATCATCATCACCATCATCATCGTCATTATCATCGTCGCCATCATCGTCATTATCATCATCAAAATCGGCATAATTATCCTCATCGCTCACCATCATCCTCATCATCATCACCGTCGTCATCACCATCATCATTTCTCATCATCGTCGTCATCGTCATCCGCATCATCTGCAGCCTCCTCACCACCACCACCATCATCACCAGCACCATCATCATCATCACCACAACCAGCAGCCTCATCAACATTATCATCAACCCATCATCCTTCTCCGGCACACGCTCCTCATCCTCACGCATGCCCTCCTCCTGCCAATATTCCAACCAACTCCCCCTTCTCGTATCTCCTCTTTCCTGCTTCTTCACCTCATCATCTTCCTCCCCAAGGTGGCACAACAGCCACCAGTCAAAGGAATTAGTAGAGAGCTCTACATCCAACTCTTGGTCCTACTCCTGCGCCACGACGGTCCGCGCCACCCCTCGGTCGTGGGCACGCGCATCTTCCTGCCGCTCCTCGTCCGATACCTTCTTCTGCTGTTCCGCCTTCGCCTCCCCCTCCGCCACCTCCTCCTCCTCCGCTGCCTCCTTCTCTTTCTCCTCGTCCGCCACCTCCTCCTCCTCCTCCTCCTCCTCCTCCTCTTCCACCTCCTCCTCTCGTGGCTCGGACGAAAAATCGCAGCCGAGGTTCTGTCACCGCTGCTGGGCTCCAGAGACCGCTTCTGAAGCGCAACGGCGTCCAATACCTCCTCCGTCCTTACTCTTCTCTCCTCCTCGATCCTCGCTCCTTGATCCTCGATTCCTAGGACGAGGTGGTGACCCCCCCTGAGGAGAGAAACCACCAGCCCGCAAGCACTTAACTCACACACGCACAAAGACGATTAACTCGCACCCATTTGGCTCGCACGCAGCTGAACTGGCACGCACTCAACGCGCACCGGCCGAACTGGCACGCCCTTAACACGCTCGCACCAAGCTCGCACGCGCGATGCGACCCTTACAGAGTTTGCTGCTCTGCAGCGTGCAGTCCATGCGAAATCAGTGCGTATGAGCTTAGCCCGTGCGAGCTCAGTCCAGGGGGTTCAGTCGTGTACGTGCTCAGCGGCGTATGAGTTCGGATCCGTGCGAGTTCAGACCGTGCGAGTTCATCGCGTGCGAGTTAGGCGTCCTTCGCGCTGGGATGACCTCAGCAGTCCAAAAAGAAGATCGGGATCTGCCTGAGCAGGTCTGGGCGTCAATCCAAAAAACTCCCAACGTTTTTCGATGCGCGAGCTTCTTGGCAGCTTGCCCAGGCTACGTGGGGCCCGGCCATTCTGGAAGGTCTTCTATGTATTGTTAGGAACATCTGAGAGGACGTGCGTCTCTCTTTGAGCGAGCTTTGAGGTCTCATGGCGTCTGCTTGGGTTTCTCCTGGGGCCTTCGGCACCCTCTGGGGACCATCTAGGAATTCATCGATCTAATAAGCGGGTATTCTCCACAGCGCCGTCCCTGGTGAGCCCATCGCATCGCCCCTTGGGATTCTCTTGGGACGCTAAGACGCTCTCGGGCGTCCTCAAGCAATCTTGAGGCCGTCCTCAAGAGCCTATGCGAAGTAAGACGGCCAGACCAGCAAACCAAAATTCGAAGGCGGCTTTCGTCAGGAACTTCCCGCTTGACTCGCATGCGAATGTCCGTCCCGCTCGATCTGCCCGCTCGATCCGCATGTATAGAGCCTCGTAGTCATCGTCGCGTCGCTATGGTCGTGCTCGTCGTGGCGGGCGTCCGGGTCGCCCAGGCCACATCCGCTCGCGATGGTCTGCTCGCCCGACAGGCGTGCGAGGGTCATTGTCGCCAACGTGGCAATCATCGCCCTTCTCGCTCTCGCCATTGTCGTTCTCGTCGTCCTCGCCGTGGGCCACGTCGCCCTCCTCGTCGTTGTGTGTTTCCTCCACGTCGACATTGCAGTGGTCATCGTCACCCGATTTATCGCACGCGAGTTCGGTGCGCGTGCGAGCTCAACTGCGTGCGAGCGAACTGCGTGCAAGTTCAGCCCAGTGCGAGTTAAATGCGTTCGGGTTCAAGGTGCGTGCGAGTTAAGTCGGGTCCATAGTGTTTACCCACTTTTGGGACGCCGTTTCTGCACGCAGAGGGGGTCATGGCGAGGGGAGGAGCGCATCTTGGGGCGATCTTGGGGGCCTGTGGGGCCATCTTTGAAAGTCGGAACCCCGAAAAGACGAGGACGCCAAAATCCTTCAAGGAGTAGGCAGAATCAATGGTTTGTGCACATGAGGGCCCTCTTGGGGGGGCGGTGCCCTCTAGGAGGGCACGACGCCTCTCGAAGGCCCCCAAGCCTTCTGAGAAGCCTCCACGCGAAAAGGGAGCCGACACCATCAGCGCTCGGGAGCTTGTTGCTCAGCGTCTCGCGGCGGCGGCCCCTGCGAGACGCCATGCCTTGCGAGCTGACAGCGTGTCGCTTCGTTCCGCGGGACGGGAGGCTGGGAAACGCTCGTGACGTGGATCAGCCCGGGGACCAGGAAGCGGTTAGCGTGTCGCGCCGAAGCGCGGTGAGCCAAGGCCTGCGGTGCGACACCCGAAGCAAGCGCTCCTGACCGTACGGCGCCCACCCCGCCCTGTCCCCCTCCGCGCACCGCCAGCCCTCCCTCCTGGAAGGGTCAAGGCAAAGATCACCCAAGCGACCGACAAACGAAGGACTGACGACAACGCTCCTGCCAGCATGTCAGCATGCCCTCCCTCCGCTGATCGACTATACGCAAGGTTGACCCTGGGCAAGAATGACCTTTGGTGCGCGGCCATGGGAGGCCGTGGGGAGGGCCACTCCATGCGCGCAGGCCAATGCTGGGCTGCGGGCCCGTACCAAAGGTCACTCCTGCGAAAGGTTGCTCCTGCGCGTAGCTGGCCTGAACCGTCCGAGCACCTCGGCCCGGTGTGCAAGGAGCAAGGTGACGTTTGGCTCCAGCCCCGCCCCACGCAGGGCCTGGAGCAGCGTCAGCGCCCGCTCCCACTGGCCGCCCTTCTCGCACGCGCTGATCGCGGCGCTGTAGCTGACGACGTCTGGCTCCAGCGCGGCCCCCCGCGCCTCGCCGAGCAGCGCCAGCGCTGGCCGCCACTGCCCGCCCTTCCCGCAGGCGCTCACCGCGGCATTGTAGCTGACGATGTTGGGCTCCAGCCTGAAGCGACCACGTGCGACACCTGCCCCCGCTGGGGCCAGGTTTGTGGAGCACTGGCGGGGGTTCAGGACACAAACGGGTGCCTGCGACCAGGTAAGCCCCGGCGGGGATGTCCTGCAGTGATCGCGCTGCCACAAGAAACGCTGAAGAAGGAACGAAAGGGCTTTTCAGGCCACGGCGAGCCTTGGTCACAAATAGGTTCCCCGACACGAATATAAGGAATTGCTCGAAAGCCACAGGACCCTCCTGAGCCGAAACTGGTCCTTGTTTCAGCGTCCTGACTGTATGCCCCAGCGTCAACTGGACCCGCAGGGGCAGGGTTCCCACGTGGCCGCAGAAGCCTCGTCTGCAGCATCTCGCCGAGCAGCGACAGCGCCAGCAGCCACTGCCCGCCCTTCTCGCAGGCGCTGATCGCGGCGCTGTAGCTGATGACGTTCGCCTCGAGAACGGTATTCCACATGTCGTAGAGCAACGACAGCGCCTGCAGCCAGTGCCCACCCTTCTCGCACGCGCTGATTCCAGCGCCGTAGCTGATGACGTTGGGCTGGAGCTCAACCTCCCGCATCTCGCCTAGCAGCGACAGTGCATGCTGCCACTGCCCACCTTTCCCGCACGCGCTGATCGCGGCACTGTAGCAGACTACGGCTGACCCGTGGACGTCCGTCCACGACAGCTTACGGTGGGGATCTTTTGCTTAGTGTGTCGCGACGGCAGCCCTGGCGACACGCTATGCCCTGCGAGTGCATAGCGTATCGCTCCGCTCCACGGGGCGGGAGGCTGGGCAAGGCTCGGGACGTTGACGCTGGGCGACCTGGGAGTGATTAGCGTGTCGCGCCGAAGCGTGGTGGGCCAGAACTGGCGGAGCGAAACGCTATCCAAAAGATCCCGACCGCACTCGCATGCAATGGTTAGGATCGCACGCCTGCGTTCGTGCTGTCATGCGTGCATGGCTGCCACCCTGCTGGCCCGACTGCTTTCTCCCCGATATTCCCGTTTGCATGCTGGTCTGCATGTCTTGTATCAAACTTGCCTGCTTGCTTGGTTGCTTCATCGCTTTTGCCCGCTCGCTTCCGCCTACGGCTGCCTACTGCAGATTGCTGATATTTGATCCTGCTTGGTATTAGCTGCCGCTGCTTGGAACTGCTGCTGCTAGTGCCTGTTTACTGGTGCAGGCGACTGCTTGCTGCGGCTTGTTGCTGCCGCCTGCTGCTCAGTTCTGGTGCGCTTGATGCGTCTGCGCTACACACTGGTTCTTGCTGCTGCTGCCTGCCCCCGGTGGAGGCTGAAGCTGTTTGCTGCAAATTCTGCTTGCGTGGCTGCTAGCATGCATGTCCGACAGATTGCTTGCATACCTTGTTTGTATTCTGGCCTGCTGGCCTGATTTCTTGAGTGCTTGCTTCATTCGCTTGCTCACGTTTGCTGCGGGTTGCTATTGCTCTGTGTTGCATGCTGGTAATTGCTGATCGTTTCTACTGCTGCCAACCGTTGACTGGTGCTGGCACCTGCTTGCTGCGGTATGGTGCTGCTGATTGCAGTTGATTGGTGCTGGCTGTTGCTGCTTTGTGAATGCTGCTTGGCGCAGGTGCTATGAACGCGAGCTGGTGCTGCTGGTGCGTTGCTGCGGCTCGACGATACTGCTTACTGATACAGGCTGCTGCTGCTGCGTGCGAGTGCTGACTTCTACTGATGTCTGCTGCTGCTAACTTCTCATGGCGCCGCTGCTGGCTCTGCTGCTGGATCTGGGGGTCGTGCTGGGGCACGCTGGGACCGTATTGGGGGTGCCTTGGGGCCCTCTTGAGCCCGTCATGGGCCGTCTCGCGGCTCTCCGTGGAGCCTCTTTTGCGCCATCGTAGAGCTCTCTGGAGGCCCTCTTGGGCCCTCTGGAGGGAAGACGTCGTGGGCCCTCTGGAGCCTTGCAGGGCCATCCTGGGGCTCTCTCGGGGCCGTCTTGGGAGCTCAATGGAACGCAATGGGGGCCTTCCTGGGCCCGTCTGGGGGCCATGCCATAGACCATGTCAGAGGCACTGCCAGATCAAGGTGGAGACGAGCCAGGCCAGGAGACGTCTGGGCGCCGAGGCCGGCGTCGCCCCCGAGCGGAGCCGACATGGCGACGCCGCCCAGGGCCGGGCCTAAAGAAACAGGCTGCCCTTCGCGCACACCCGCGCCCTACCGCCACGGAGCCTGATGAGTGTGCCATCCTCGGGCCTCTCTGAAGCGCCTCTTTGGAACCCTCTTGGGCCGGCCACGTGGGAGCCATCTGGGAGCCTATTGGGGGCACAAGGAGTACCATAAGTGCACTTTCCCTCACATGATTCGAACAAGGTTTGCTTCTGGGGGCCTTCTGCTTACTGCTTTCGGAGCCCTCTTGGAGCGTCTTTGGGGCATGGTGTGCCGCGTGGAGGGTCGATCTGAAGTCTGGAGCACTCTCGGACCATCCAGGAGGCCTCTTGAGACCCCCATGGACCGCCACAGGCGTCGCGGCACGGGCTTCTGGGAAGCGTCTGTGGACTCCGAGGGCGCCTCTGGGGGCCGTCCAGGCACCAGAGGAGCCATCAAGCCAGCGCTTTTCCCGCACGCGCGGGGCCCTGCAATGCAGCAAAGAAGGATTACGTTCGGCTCCAGCTCCACACTCCACACCTCGCCGAGCAGCGCCAGCGCGTCCAGCCAGCGCCCGACTTTTTGGCACGCGCTGATCCCGGCGCTGTAGCAGACAGTCGGGCCTTGCTAGAAATGGCTCTGGCCAAAGAAGCTCCCAGCTGTTCGCGCCATTCGCAGGGGCGCGTTGGGCCCTCTGAGCCTCGCGACGTGTGCTCTGTAAGCCACCTGCGCCCCGCGATGTGCGACGCGTGATCATCTTCGCGCCCTCGCGCCAAGCGCCGCCCCCCCAAGTGAAGGGCAGCTGCTCTGGCCCAGACCGCAACGAGCGAAGCGCGGTTATCGTCACGCCCCCGCGGGTGACCTGGGGCACGAGGTGTACTGAGGGGAACGTCAGGGAGGGGACACGCCGCTGAGGGAGAGGGGGGGGGGGACATCCATCTGGAATCTGCGATCGTCGACAGATCGGCGATGGGCCCCCGATAGCGAAACCATCGTTCCTGGGCGGGGTGGGCCATCAGGCCATGTCAGGCCCCTGTTGACAATGAGTGGGCGATTGGGATCGATACGTTCTCCCTTGAGCCTACCCCCCTAACGTTGCCTCTGGTGTGAGTGTGCTCTCTTCCGGGAGGCCTGCCAGTCTTCGTCTGATCGGGGGAACTCCTCGAGAGCTGGTTTGTCTCACCGTCGCCTTTCCCGCGGCCCCTCCTCCTCCTCCTCCTCCTCCTCCTCCTCCTCCTCCTCCTCCTCCTCCCTCCTCCTCCTCCTCCTCCTCCTCCTCCTCCTCCTCCTCCTCCTCCTCCTCCTCCCCTCATATTTCTCCTTATGCGCGTCTTCCCGCGCTCCAGAGGGGTCCAGCGGAATGACCCCTTGCGCAGATCAAGCTGCTACGGTAGAGGGAAACAAATAGTAGACACTCCCCCGCCCCCCAAAAAACTCAAAGTTGGCACGCGTGGAGATGACTGCGGTCGAAGTGCAATTCATCCAACCCACCGCAAAACATTGATAATTGAGGTGGCATTGGCACATGAATGTGGCATGTGCGTTCGCTGATTCATTCCGAAGCCTGTACAGGATCCCCCCAGGTGCTGCCAGCCGCGGAGCCATCGCCGCTTTCCTGCACTCCCACAGGGGGTCGACGAAGTGGCCCTTCACGCGGACCCACCTGCCACCCCGACCCCCCCATGTTGCGCAACAAGCCGCACAGCGGCCGCTGCCCTGCTGCGTCCCTCGGGGGCCCCGCGGAGCGACTCCTCGCGCGGACCAAAGTATATCGCAGGCCTCGCGGGGTGGTGCCCCTCCTCCTCCCCCTCCCCCTCCCCATCCCCCTCATTTTCTTCATCCTGATCCTCCTCCTCCTCCTCCTCTTCCTCTTTCTTCTCCTCCTCCTCCTCCTCCTCCTCCTCCTCCTCCTCCTCCTCCTCCTCCGCCCTCCCTCTCCTCCTCCTCCTCCTCCTCCCCTCCTCCTCCTCCCTCCTCCTCCTCCTCCTCCTCCTCCTCCTCCTCCTCCTCCTCCTCCTCCTCCTCCTCCTCCTCCTCCTCCTCCTCCTCCTCCTCCTCTACCCCACGTCCACTTTTGCGTGCGCCCTCCCCCGTGCTTTTCAAACTATACAGAACGACGACGCCGGGCTCCAGCTTGGCCTCCCGCAGCTCTCCCAGCAACGACCACGCACGCTGCCACTGCCCGCTCCGCCCGCACTCGATGACAGCCGCGGTGCAGTCGGCGACTCCGGCCCTCGCGCGCGACAGCGACGCCTGGCAGGGGGCACAGACGGAGAACCAGATTTGCTGGGTCGGCGCTGATTTCCCCCGCTGAAGGAACGATCGGGGGGACTGGCCCAAGGGGGAAACATCCACCTGGAATCGGCAAGACGTCGCCGACAGATCGGCGATGGGCTCCCGATTGCGAAGTGGCACGTTCCTGGGCGGGGTGGGGCTATCGGGCCCCTGTCCGCGATGAAGCGGCGATCGGGGGTCGATGCCGCCCGAGCCTGTCCCCCCCCCAATGCTTCCCCTGATCCCCACGCCGCCCATGGAGGGGCGCACGAGGGGCACACACGAGAGGGGCGCAAGCAAAAGCCACGGAGGTGGCCACGGAAGGGGGCTCGTCCAGCGACGACCCGCAGGCGCGCTCCGCGCGCCGAGACCGATGCCACTATTCCCCATGCCTGTATTGGGGGGGCGATATGACCAGAATTTCAGAATCTTTTCGGGGTGCGCTCTGGCCAGAACTTCGAAAAGAATCCGGCCGTGGCGGCGGAGGCTCTCCAGGACGAGCAGCGGCATCAGTATCTTCCCTCATCTGAGATGGGGCGCGGGCAGGGGGTCCAGGGCGCTGGCCCGAGGTCCGCGCGAAGTCCCAAGTGTCTGTTCGTACAGTCCATTTGGGCTCCCCGACGGACGAGCTGGAGAGCCCTCAGGTCTCGGCCCCCCTCGTGGTCGCCCAGGGGAGTGGACAGAAAAGTCGGGATGCCCTCAAGTTCTGGGGGGCCACGGAAGAGGGTCACGACCCGACCTTTCGCCCCGTCCCACGGTGCCCGCCGAGCTCAGACAGGAAAATACGCACGAGGGCGGAGGTCGAGGGCTCTGGTCGTGACTTGCACGACGCCGTGGTTCTGCTTTCCAAGAGCGCCAGCCCTGGGGGCGGCCGCCTCTAGGCAGAGAGGGCTGCCCCGCCTCTCGAATGCCCTCCGCGAGGGGGGCGGGGCTGGTCCCCTCTCGGGCGCACGCTGACATTAGGCGGCGAGCGAGGGGGGGAGTGAGAATGAGAAGGCCTCCCCAGAAGGCTCGAAGTCCCGCGGCCTCAGGAGAAGTTTCCTACGCCTTCCCCGAAGACACAGGAACCTCTCGGAAGGCCGTAGGGCTTCTGAGAAGTCCCGCCGCCCTCTGAGGAGGCCTTCTCCTTCTCATTTTCCCCCCCTCACTTGCCGCCGAGACATGGATCACGGACCCGTGGCACGTGGGCGCCAGGTCCACGGATCGGGGAAAGCACCCCCGAGACGTGAGGACAGCCGATCCCGTGGGGCCGTCGAGCGGCCATCGTGGGCCCCTCCTAAGCCATCTTGGGCCCATCGTGGCCGTTTTGGGGAGCTCGTCGGGCCCGCCGGACGCCTCCCGGGGCCCCCCTTGGGGCCGTTTGGGGGGCATCCGTGGCCGTCTTGGGCCCTCCTGGAGCGCTCGCGGACCAGCCTCCCGCTTCCGCACGGAACCGGACAGTACCCCCGAAACGCGAAGACCGTGCCCGCTGGGGCAAGAGGCGAGTGGGAACAGCGATGCACCGGAAAGCGTACAAGAAAAAATGCGAAGATGGGTAGAGCCAGGGGCCGACGTATGACAGGTAATGGGCTGCTTCCTGTAGGACGCCTGCTGCCCCGGGGGGGGGGGGGATAATCCCACTCTGGCCCAGGGGCTCTGGACCCCTGTGTGGTTATTACCCATCGTGGATTGCCATGTAGCGCGGCCAGACAAAGGACTTTCAAGGCAGTCCCCATGCTCTGTGCCTGCACGGCACAGTGGGGCAGCCCAGCCTGGCAGAGCTAGGGTTCTGGAGCTGGGTATGGTGCCCCCTCGCAATGCCTACCAGCCACCTTTGCGGTGATTGAGGCGTGCGAGGCGGCCAACTCACAAACAAGATACAAGTTACAAGTGCCGCCTGGTTTGGCAGCGGGCCGCGCCGATTCCGCACGGGGCTGGGACCCACGGCGCCTAATCCACACGCGCCCCGCCGCACGCAAGGGGGCCGCGCCCCCTGCCACGAGTGCCCCCCCCCCCCGCGGAGCGCGCTCCGCCGAGGTGCCTTCCGCAGCAGCCTTGGGGATGCGCTCCACTGCTCGGGGGCGCCCAAGGCGGGGGGGCGTCCAACAGGATGGGGGGGTCGCAGACCATGGCCCGAGGCGCGTGCGCGGCCCAAGGCGGGGAGGGGGCAGGGGACGCGTTGGAAAAAAAGGGGCCTGAGATCCAGGAGGATCTCGCGGCCCCCGCCATGACGCCCACCCCCAACGCCCTACGGTCGGGAACCTCGGGGTAGCCTGTCGCCACGGCGGCCCTGGCGACACGCTTTGCCTTGCGACTAGATAATAGCGTGCCGCTCCGCCCCGCGGCGCGGAAGGGCTCGGGACGTTGACGCTCAGGTGCCTGGGCGTGGAGGGCGTGTCGTTCCACATCGCGGTGGGCCAGAACTGAAGGGGCGTCGCGCTATCCAAAAGTTACTCCGGATTCCGGATTTCATTCTGAAAGGGTGGCGGTCTGAATGGAGGGGGTCTGATGTAAGCTGTCTTGGAGGGTCCAGTGGATTCTAGACAAAAGGCGGCCCTTGCATGGCTGGCATGGGCGGGGGTCTAAAACTACTCGTACGGGAGGGTTGTGACCCCCTCCCTTGTTACGAAAGTTTGTGTCACCGACCGTGCTCTCCACGCCCCCTCTTGGACGGCCCCGAACCGCCCGGCGCTCCCACACATCGCAGTGGCGGCGGCACCCCAGTGGAGGCCGCATGAAGCCGCCACCCCGCATCGCCCTGGGGCGGCGCCCACGCGTGCATGGCGGCGGCCGGCGCGTGCGGCGCGAGCGGCGGCGCTGGTGGCAGCGGTGACAGCAGCGCCTCTTGTCGGCAGCGAGCCCTGGGGGGGGAGGGAGAACCTGCTACTCCGACTCACACCTCTACGTCTGCCTCTCCTGCTCCTACTCCTTTACCGTCGCGTCTGGACCGTCTCCCCGGGCAATTTGCGCCAAGCTGAATGGGGTTAGCGTGCCACTCGCGCGCACGCTAACCCCGCAAGCTCGGCGAACGCAGTCTGGGGCTGAAACGGCCCAGACGAGACCACAGCCCCGACGCAAAAACAACGAAGGGAGCACAAGCCGAGCCCACACACACACACACACACACACACACACTCACTAAACGCATATGTATGTGTATATATATATAAACACTAAACACACACACACACACACACACACACACACACACACACACACTTTTTTGGTCGGCGGGGCGAGAGCGAACCTCTTCCGCTAAAAGCTACACACACACACACACACACACACACGCACACACACACACACACACACATCACAAGAATACGCGGAAAACGCGGATGAAACACAACACGTGGGAACCAAACAATGTCCAGCCGAATCCCATCAGCCCTTGAGGGCATAGGTGGTTCAACGTGTTTCGTCTTTCACCCCCTTCTTCCCCTTCGGGGAGGGGTTTACCCCTACCCCCACCCCTGGGCCTGGACGGGGCGTTTCGCGAGCGGTCGGAGCGTCCAACACGGTCTCGGCGACGAAGGCAAAATCATTGGTTTTAACATGGTTTTGTCCCCATATTGGCCTTTTGTGGGGGGGCGGGGGGGGTTAATTAAAGCTCCCCCCTTCCTGGATCGATCTCCTCCACGATGGCCCCACGAGCGCCCCCGAGGCTCCCAAGGATGCCCCAACAGGGCTCCAAGAGGTGGCCAGGAGGCCCCATGAGGCCCCCAAGAGGCTCCCAGGATGCCCCCAAGAGGCTCCGAAGAGACCCCCAAGAGGCCCCAAGAGGCTCCCCAGAGGCACCCAAGACACTCCAAGAGGCCTCGGCGAGAATGCCAAAATTATTGATTTTACGAAAGTATTGGCCACAGTTTGGCCTCCTGGGGGGGGCACCGCTTCAGATGACTCCAAGAGCGCCTGGGGGAGCCCAAGATGACCTCCAGGATGGCTCAAGATATCCCAAGATGCCTCAAGATGGCCCCCACGATGCTCCCAGAGGCCCCAAGACCGCTCAAAGACGGCTCCAAGTGGCCAAGGAGCCCCCAGGAGGCCACAAAGAGGACAAAGTCCTAGGAAATCAATGTTTTTGGCTTTCTCGCCTTTTCGCTTCCGATGGCCATCCGAGGCCTCAAGAGAGCTCCAAGTTAGCCCAAGAGGGCGCGCTGCTGGGGCGGCCGCGGGGCCTGGCAAGCTGGCGCAAGGACCCGGGGCGACTCCAGACCTGGCCGCTTTCTTCCCGGCGGCGGCGTCCGCCGACCGCCCGCCGCCGCCGCCCGCAGCGCGCCCCGTCGAGCCCTGGGAGGCCGAAGCGGCCGAAGAGGCTTGGCGCTTGCCCGCTTACGCGGGGGCCTGGCAGGCGTGCCTGGCTGGCGTCTGCAGCGAGCTCGGGCCCCCCAGCCTCGAGGTTGCCCGTCGGCGTGGGGAGTGGCCGAGGGGGCGGGCCGCGCTCTCCAGGCGCGCGGCGCGACCTCGTTGCGGAGCCCCTGGCCAGAGCGCAGCGCGCCATCGCGACGCCAGAGCAGCAGGAGCGCCGGCAGCGGCTGCCGGGCGCCTTGCCACCAAGACTGGGCGGCGCTGCTACGCTCGGCCAGCGGGAAGGGAGCGGGGAGCCGGCCCCTGTCGCCGACTACGGAGGACCACGTGCTGGCGGACGCGCGCTTCCTCCCAGCCCTCGCGCCGCGACTCCCGCTGCCCCTGCCAGCGGCCAGCGGCCGCCAGCGCTACCTGCCTCCGGCACAGGGGGGGCGGCACGCGCTGCGGCGCCGACTTGGCACCTGTCGGCGGCGGCGCGATCCAGCGCCGCGACGGCGTCTGGGACAGGCTCGCCCAATGGCTCGGCGCCAGCGGCGCGACCAGCGAGGGCTCGGAGAATTCCTCGCCCGCCTGGGGCCGCGCGCGCCCGGGCGGCGCCCCGGGGGCCGCCCGCCTCGACGTGGCTTTCACGGACACCACAGTCGGCGTGGCCTGCGTCGGCGCGGCGGTTACCGACGCCCCCCTCGGCGCGGAAACGCCGGCAGGCCGAGGCCGCGCCGCCCGGGGCGGCGCCGCCGCAGCCGCCGCGGAGGAGCACAGGCGCGCCCAGGCCCAGCGCTGACGGTTTTGC